TGGTGGAACATCTTTCTACTGATGGTGGAACATCTTCCAGAGGAACACAAAGTGACCGCAAAACGACAAAAAAAGAGACAAAACCACCAAACCTTCCTCAGAGTCTGTAGCAGCTGAAAAACTGTCAAATAACCGGATCTGGTTCTGAGTCCTGCTGACAGAAGACACCTCTGAGTTCCCTCTCTTTCTTCATGTGGTTCTGGTTCCACAGAGCTGCAGGACTTTATCCTGGAACATGAACCAGTGAAGGAACATGAGACGGGAACCATGTGAAGGATTCAGTGGATGTTTGTGGAGAAGAATTCTGCTGATTCTGATTCAATCTGTAGGTGAATGATTCAGATTCTGTTCAGTGTTTGCAGGTCCGATTGATCAGGTGTGTGTGTGTGTGTGTGTGTGTGTGTGTGTGTGTGTGTAGCTGACCTGTCTGCAGGACTTCTTTGGGGACGACGATGTGTTCATGGCTTGTGGTCCAGAGAAGTTCCGATACGCTCAGGACGACTTTGTTCTGACTCACAGCAGCAAAACACAAGCCTTCGTCAACGGTAACACACACACACACACACACACACACACACACACACAGGAACGTTAGAGGTAGAACCTGCTGTCAGACTGATACCGGTACCGGACTGATGCCTGATTCTGTGGTTCCTGCTGAGCTCACCGACCATGGACCTGCTGTTTGTGTGCAGAGTGCAGAGTGAAGGCCACTCGCTCAGCTGCTCCTCACAAAACTCCCAAAACTCCGAGCGGCGCCGGACTGACCTGCAGAACCCCCCCCAGAGGCCCGACCAGGACCAAGTCACCGGGTCCAGGTGAGTTCTTCCCGTGAACACGTCCAGGCTTCAGTCAGCTGCTGAAGCTCCTGCTGACCTCCAGCTGTCGGAGCCGATGGTTCTGGTTCGTCTCCAGGTCCATTGAACTCTGATCCGCTCAGATCAGTGCTGGAGTCAAACCTTCAGGGTCTCTGAGCTCCACTGGACACGAGCCAGGCCTCATCGGGTCATGTTCTGAAAGCAGCTGAGTCAGCTGGTAGCAGGAGACCAGCTGGAGATGTTCTGATCCAGCTTCTGACCCATGTAGTCCCCATCTGGTACCATGTTCTAGTGCATTAAAGTTCTGATACAATCCAGTCTGGTCTTCATGTTCTGTAGGTGAAACCCTGTAGAACATTGTCTAGATGTAGTGTTAGATCGGATCAGAACCTGGTGGTTCCTCTGGAGACATGGACAGACTGTCAGAATCATTTAGAACGGCCCAAATGATTTAAAGAATGACAAAGTCCAGATGTTTGTTCAGATTTACACCAAGTCCAAAACGATTCCAGCGTCTGCAAAGTGACCTGAAACAATCCGGTCCCGGGTCATCCAGATGGAGCCCAGAACACTAAGTACCGGCTGAGATTACTAATCTGTGCTCAAGACGACACAATCAGTGTCCAGAACTACACGGTCCTGTCCAGAACTACA